TACTATCTTGTTTGTATTATATACATATACATATATATATATATATATATATATATATATATATTAAAGATTTGTTTTATTTATGTTTTAAAATGTTATGATTGATTAATTTTCCAAGATGTCTTTTTTGGCCATTTTACATTATTATCATCTTATTCTGTCAAACATGATTTATTCATCAACTAGCTTATCAGCCACCAACTAATTTCTCAAACATAGTTGTTAGAATTAGGGGTGTTCATCCAAACCGTCAAATAGCACAAACTGCTCATTCCGTACCGCAAAGCACAGTTTAGAACTTCCGCGCTATGGTTTGCACTTGGCATTTTTACCAAACCGCACTATGCGATGTGGTTTGCAGTTTTGAGTTATAAAACCATGACACCACATATTTTGCACAATTTTCTTATTTTATATAACACACAATATATATATATATATATATATATATATATATATATACACACACACACATATATGTGTAGAATAATTTATTATTTATGTAAAATTCTGGACTTTGTGTTTTGGATTTTGAATTTGATCCAATATGACAATTGCTAATATCAATAAATTAGTTGGATACGTCACAACTCATAATTATTAACCATGTTATGTAATGGCGACAACAATTATTAAATACGAAGTCCCTTATTGATTTCCGTAATCCGTTGACGATAATTACGATTGTTCGTGATTTTACCCTTGACGGAGTTTTCTACGTCACCAAAATATCCATGTCATTTTCGTTTCTTTTATTCATTGTCTCGAAAGTTCAATCAGTATTTGATAAGCTTCACGATCCAAGGTTTTGCAACAGAATTGTAATTAAAATCTATAAAGTATAAAAATAAAAATCTAAAACATATAACATCTTAATACATATAATATCATATTCAATCGGTTCGGTAAGCACGTTTTGTCACTTATATGAGTATATTCAATGAACCGATGTTATGAAAGAGAAAGGAGAAAAAGCAACGGTGAATGAAGGAAGTGAAGTGTGAGTGAAATTGACTGATTGAAATCATTCATATGATGATGATATCATCGATGTTTACGGGTCATTTGAATAATATTGTAACAATTTATAATTTATAAAAAAAAATTAAAAACAAGTTCTCGAAAAAATATCTGTCATGTGTTTATGGACGTACATTTTCAGGTAGAATTTTAATTATGTGGTAGACGTGGTAGATTTTTCTGATCGAGTGCACTGTTAAAATAGATCAAACGCATACAAAGTCGCGGTTTAGGGAGAAGTCATGCAATTTGAGCGGGGGAAAGTTAATTCCGTTGATTTAATGAATAAAATACATTCTTCGAAATGGAATAAACCGTTAAGGGCAAAACACAAGACTACTTTTACGTCCGTCGTGTTTTTAGCTGAATTCCACTGTTTCTTGAAATTTTTTTGAGTGATTTAGTAAAATTTCCTAACTTTTAGGATTTAATTCTCGTTATCATTTACCTTTCTTTTACAAGTTTCTAATTTTGTTTCCAATCTAGACCCCCCCTCTCTCTCTCTGTATATGTATATATATATATAGGGGCACGTTCAAATGAAAATTGTGCATTTCTAAGAAACCGTGTAAAACCAATTTCGACCTATAGGAATTTTTTTTTCTAATTAAATTTAATCAATAAGGGTATTTCGGTCATTTATAATATATTTTTATTAAATATGGAAGTTATTAATAAATCTTAATTAAGAAAACGTAATAAAAGAAATTATATAAATGGTAACATTTAAATATTTAATTATATTAAAATATAAAAAATTTGGATTTCATATATTCTTATGAGTTATAATTAGGAAACGTGTCTTGATGAAACAATTAAATTATAAAATGAAATCATCAAAACGTAGATGAAAAAAAAAAATCCACAAAATGAAACATGTTTCATGAACGTGAAACCGGTTCATGTTGCAAAGAAATTAGGTGAACCAAAACATTTTTATGGTGAACCCGTTGCATTGATGGTGTAGTTAATCCTTTTTTTTTATGAGAAACAACATGAAACTAGTGCATTTTGAAAAAAATTAGGAAAAGGAAAATGAAACAGGTTTCATGAACGTGAAACCGGTTCATGTTGCAAATAAATTAGGTGAACCAAAACATTTTTATGGTGAAACCGTTACATTGATTGTGTAGTTGATCCATTTTGTTGATGAAAAGGAAAATGAAACCGGTGCATTTTGAAAATAAATTATGAAAAGAAAAATGAAACATGTTTCATGAACATGAAACCGGGTCTTGTTGCAAATAAATTATCTGAACCGAAACATTTTCATTGTTCATATAATATAATTCAAAATTTAAAACGATTCACTCCATATAATTGAATATGGTGTGTTATATTCATTTTGTTTTGATATGTTTTATTGATGGATGTGATTTAAAGTTAAAAATAATATATTGCTTWAAAAAATGAAAATAGTGTCATTAATATCTAGAAGAATGTTACCAAATGTTAAATTTTGCTTACCATTTTTGCCCTTACTGTTGAAATAAATAATATATATATATATATATATATATATATTTTTTAATTTTCTAAAATAAAGTAAATCAATCTTGGCCATTGATCAAAAAAATGGATGAATGAGATTGGTTTACACGGTTTACACAAATGGGGCAGGTTTTTATTTGAACGTTCCTCTCTCTCTCTCTGTATATATATATATATATATATATATATATATATATATATATGTGTGTGTGTGTGTGTGTGTGTGAATGATCGTGTGATAAAAAGAATTTAGGTGAGAAGTGTAAGAAGAAATCTGAACCCTTGATCACTTCTAATCTCTTGTCCACCAATAAATTGGATTCTCATGTAAATTGATCTGGTACATCTCATCATAATATGCATCTAATGGTGGAGATCTTTTCTCACGATTCCCACCGAAACCCAACCTTGTGTGTGTGTGTGTATATATATATATATACTAGTTGTGTACCCGCGCAATCCGGCGGGAGCCGTGAATTTTAACGATTTCGAAGTTTCACCGGTTTTATTAGAGAGGATTTAACGATGATATAAATTACATTTGGTTTTTACATATTAATACAATTCGAATAAATAAGAGTTATGGTTCCAGTTCCAGTCTATCAATGAAAAAAATTGTATCACAGTTTAAAATTCAATATATTTAAAATCCAACATATTTAAACGATTCCATAAATGTGTTCAATTTACAGCAAGACTAAAGAACCAAGAGATCGAGAGCGATACCAAGAGTTCGAGAGCGATACCAAGAGTTACAGAACAATTGAATGAGATAACTTTTAACTCATGGTGAATATCAACTTGAATCTCACATTGAGGGATGAGGAGAAGACATAGAGGTATGAGAAGGTGAAGACATGAGTCAAATGTGTCAAAAGTATCTTGGACACATTAAAAGAAAAAGTAATAATATGCATTGGTAACTTGTACTATATGTTATTTTAATTGTAAATTAAAATATTTTTAAAACTAAATATATAAAGTAGTAGTACTTAATGCATTATGAGTTGTTTTTAAGACTTTGTGCATTAAAAATTGTTTTCAAGACTTTTAAAAAATCTGGTTTATAAGATAGTGTATATATATATATATCCTTACTACATCAACAAGATCCTTATAAATAAGTCATCAAACTTCTAAGAATTGGTAATTTACATCATTTTAACCGAAAAAAGTTACATGATACTCGACTAAAAAAGTTTTAAAATAACAAAAATCACGTATCAATTTTATTGTTCCAAAACTCTACGTTGTATAAACCACTCTCCTCATCTTCCTTTTTTCTATCAATGCCCATCATCGTTGTTGCCCAGACATTTACTCCATTTTTTATGGTTTTTCGATCTCCATTTTCTTGATGTATTTACAAGTGCGCCATTAGGTTGTTGTAAAAGGGGGATAATTGAAGTATAAAAACCAGATAAAAAAGAGGGAGATAAATAACAGAGACCAATGACAACGGTGGAAGCATGGAGAATGGATGGTGATGGAGCAACGAGGAGTGACAACTGACAAGGGGAACGATGATGTTATGTTCAAGGGGTTTGAACGACGTAAGTTTTGAGAACTGTAAACTGATTTAATTTTCCTTTTTTAACTTTAAACTTTTTCTAACCACTTTCCTATAACTTTTTTAATTAAAAGAATGTAAATAACTAATTTTTAAAAGTTCAAAGATTTATATATTCATTTTTTTAAAGACTTAAACATTTAAAATAAAAAAGTTCAATAATTTAATCATTTAAAATGATTTATGAGCATCTTCAACAGATTTTTTAAAATAAAGAAGTAAAAAATGAAAATCTTAAGAGAAATACTTCATCTCTATTAGATTCTCTATTTTTGAAAATTATATAATTAATTATATTATTAAAATATTCAATACAATCCATAAAATATTATTTTGTTTTGAACATTTAATTTTAAACAATCTTATCGGTAGAATTAAATTTTTTTTTTTTGTAAATAATTTTTTTTAGAGAAATCTCTAAATTTGTAGAATTTTATTTTTTGTTAATTTTTTCGTAAATAAAATATTAAAACCATATTTTAAAAGAAAATCACCAGGTCATAATGCTAAATCGAGCGCCATAACAAGCATTTCAAAAAATTTAATTACAAAAGTGACAGGTGGTAGCACGGACAGACCGCTCGTAAACATTCATAAACAACACGTGTTCGTTTCTTATTCGTCCTTCACCAAAATATACGTAACCAACCCGTACGCGTAACTTTCACACTCAAAAATTAGAAACAACGGCTCAAAGAAAAATAAAATCTCAGAAATGTGAAATCGGCTTTCCAGAAATCGCTGATGGAGAAGAGGCTTCGCTCGTCACTCAAGTCATCGGCCGACGAATTCCTCTCGTCGGCGGCCAAATTAGGGTTCCGATCTGTTAAACCGTCTTTGAAGACACTAATTTACTCTCTTAGGCCTTCATCTGATGTCGTTTCTTCACTCCCCCTTTCCCTCCACAATTCCATTTCTCAATCCATCACTCGGTTTCAAGATCTGTCGGGATCCGGTACCACCGCTGCCTCGAATTCATCTTTGACGCCGCCAACTAAGCGTGTTCGTAAATCGTCACGACGGCCGGAAAGCAACAAAAACGACGACAAAGACGACGTCTCAGTCGCAGATGATCAACAGGCAAAACTCGAAGCGAAGACTAACATTAGTGAGAATCTTCAGATTTATGCTTACGCAGCTTACCTGTGTGTTACGCACCCGGAAAATGTGTTTTCTGCGTCTGATTTGTTACCGGCGGTTCAGGAATTGCATGATAATTTAGTTGTTTTCGAACTAGAATCCAACTTACTGTCGGACATTGCAAATTTATGCGAGGAGTGGTGGAAAAGAGAGTTGCCAGGTAGGGAAGGTTTAATTACGCAGTCGTTACCGTTCTTATTGTCAAAATCATTAACTCTGAAGAAGAAAGTGGATGTTCATAAAATAAATGCTCTTCGTGACGCATTCGCGTTGTTTGATTTTGAGGATGAGAGCATAGAGGACTTGAAATTATTGCTCATCAGGTGCTTGATATCCCCACTGTATTTGAAAATGGATGAGGGGCGTCGCTTTTTAGCCTTCTTATTTGGGTTATCTAGACAGCTAGTGAAGGAATCATTGGCAATGATTCGATCTCAGATACCTTTTGGGCGGAAGTCGATGTTGGAGGCATATGCCGACATTGTTTTTCGTGCTTGGAAGGCTGCGGAAGGGGAGTCAAGAGAGGAGATTGAAAACGAGTTTTTGCAAGCATTGATTGATAGCTCAATTCATGCTAGTAGTGGCTCTTTTGCTGCTTCTATCAGGAGGATTTTAGGAGGTTTTATCAGCCAGCGAACTACTGATGGTGTGGAGAAGCTCATTTTCAATCTTGCTGAGCCTGTTATTTTCCGATCATTGCAGGTGCTTGTTTCTTCTTCACTTTCATCCTTGCATCCCCTTTATGCAATTTTTTGTGATGGTTGGCTTTTAATTGTTGTGGGTTGAGAATGTTGGCATGCTAGTAATTGCAAGAAAACTGTCAATATGAAACTATTTGTGATTGTTTGAACAACTATATAATCCACAAAATGGGGATTTTTCATGAGATTTGACCAATTTCTCAAACACCAGATGCCTTAATCATATAACCTAGTCTTTTAGATATTTCTGTTGCGCAATAGATACTTAACCTTTCACAAGCACTAAGGCCCTAAACAAACAACTAGCTTAATAATCCAACAGCAATATGGAACAAAAGAATCTCAAGTGTCTAACAAATGCCAAGCAATAGACAATAACCAATCACAAGAACAATGCAATAAAGATCTACAAGCAATAAAGTAAGGACGCAGATATAACATGAGAAATGGTCTTTCTTGCATAAAATACTGAAAGAAATGGTGGTTCTTGTATTAAATATCTAAAGAAGGTAGAAATTGCTTTCAAAGATTACAAGCTTAAAATCCAATGTACTTGACAGAATGTAAGCCTGAGAACTTTCCCTCTCAACACAGTTTCGTATTCAATGTTTGGTCTCTCTAAAGCCACACCCCTCAAAATGACCAAACCCTAGCTTAAAACCATATGGGCCATTTAGGCAACCTTATATTCCCATTAAAGTCGCATATGAAATCTCATGCCCATCAGATTCAGTTTGCATAGAAATCTCCTGGAAGTTTCGCTGATTAGACAGAGAGTTCCGCGGCAAGTCGCATGACAGTCACACAGATTCTCTGTTGTGTATGTGTGTGCGAATTTGTATCACCAATTTCATATGGAGTAGGTTGTGTTTGTTTGAAAAAACACATAGTATGGTCTGAACTTTATTTGCCTAAATTCTAGAGTTAAGAATGCTGTGCAAACCGTGAAACTTTCTTTAATTGAAAAATAATTAACGGCAGAAACAATAAGGAATTCAAGCTCGAATTTAAGAAATGTGGTTTGATCAGTTGCTTCATGAGAAAGTGCAAGGATGGAAGCCATAACATTCCTTGGTATTTAGGATGGAATTATGACACTGCTGAGAAGGCTTTGAAACACACTGTTTGCTGCTTTACATTTTAACTCTATGTTCATGAGTTAAATATTGAATTAATCTGATGAAGATATGATGTTTGATGCTGTTTCTTTGGCAGGCTGCCAACTCAAACGTTCGTCAAAATGCACTGCACTTACTGATAGATGTTTTTCCTCTTGAAGATCCTGATGCCACAAGGGAAGTTAAAGATATATTGCTTCATAAACAATTCTTCCTAATAGAGAAATTACTAATGGATGCATGTCCGGATATAAGAGCTGTGGCGGTCGAAGGTTCTTGTCGCATTCTTCATATGTTTTGGGAGATAATTCCTTCTTCAACCATCACCAAACTAATCACCAAAATATTAGATGATATGGCCCATGATGTGTGCAATGTGGTCAGGCTTTCAACAGTAAATGGTATCATCTATTTGCTTGGTAACCCTCACTCCCATGAAATCCTCAAAGTGACTCTCCCAAGGTTAGGACATTTGATTATGGATTCGGCCCTTTCAATACGCTGTGCCACTATAGATCTCCTTCTCCTTTTAAAGGGTATTCATAATTTTCAGTTTCACAAGGTACAAATTCTTTGTAAATTGCAACTGTTGATGGAACGGCTATACTCAAGCACCTCTTCAACTGTTTATTTATGGAATCCATATATCTGTTTTCTACAGGTGGTGCATCTAGATGTTCTGTTATCAACACTTGCAAATGATCAAGCAGTTGTAGGGCAAAAAATCACTAAGCTTCTCCTACCTTCTTATTTTCCCACAACGGTAACTCCAGAAGAAGCATGTCAACGCTGTGTGACACTTATAAGAAGGTCCCCGCTTGCTGGTGCAAGGTTTTGTGAATTTGCTTTGAGTGAAGGGGCATCCCCACAGTTACTCAGTAGACTTTTCAAAGTTCTCATCACTTTGGTCCTCTCACGTGCCAATATGGGTGCAGATCAGATTGATGGCATACTTATGGCTGCTGCCAACATTTGCAACAATCTAGCCACCAAAGACATTTACAAAACTTCCTTTAAGGATGAGTTGACCGCTAAAAAGCTTATGTGCTTGTTTACTGCTGCAAATACTGGTCATGCTCAAGCATCTGTGTGCAACATTGTTTCAACTGTCGTTCCTGAAGCTGCTGATGTTCTTCGCCAAGAATGCATGGCACTGGTCACAAGATGTATTGGTTTATCTGATAATAAGGAAAGACAAGCACAAGTGAGAATGGTTCATAAAATGATGTTGTCCTGTGGTTGGATTGACTATATGCTTGAAGCTTTTACAGCGCTTTTGGTAAAAGCTGCCAATGGATGTGTTGGTAAAGATGACACAGAAAGAACAAGATGTAACTCTCTCTCAGGAAAGAAGAGAAAAGGTAAACAAGGTACTAAAGTTTCAGCAAAATGTAAGCGTATCAGTGGGAAGAAGCGTTCTGATATCGCTAAAAGTAGCTTTTATGAGGATTACACAGTTTCTGTTGGTATAGCTTGGCAGTTAAAGGATTTGCTCACATACAGCAACACTCGGAAAGCGGTGTTAGGCTCTAGAAGCATTGAATCTGTATACCATGCTTTAGAGGTCATCTCTGAGTTCAGCATTATGATGTGCCTGCAGCATGATTACATAAACCCTGCTCCTGTGCTGGCATACACATCTCTTAGTCTTCACATGTCTGTTGAGAATTTAAAATTAAATGATAGCAATAACCATGGTTCAAAGGTCACAGATTCCGCTGGTTCAACAAGCTTAGCTTCTGAGGTAAGTAATCACTGTTGAAAACCCTCGAGTCGAAAACACATCACTTTACAAATGATTTTTTTAAATGCATTTGTTTTTCATTGATCAGATCTGCTCTGTCCTACATGAGTCATGTGAATCATACATGAAACAGTTTTTTTCTCCTTCTCTTGTAGTCAAAACGTATATCCTAAAAAATTATGAAGTATGGTTGTATTGTTCACATCAGCATGTCTATATCATCAATGATGTAACCCCTAAGCCCAAATCAGTTATCACTTTTAATATACTTTTCTATGAACTTTTTCGTGTTTCTGGCTGGTAGGCACTGATTTCTACAAGTTCAATTTGATTTTTTTCATCGATAAGTTTCAGGTTTTTTCTGACCATCTCTTTGGTAGTTAACAAGTATCTCATAGAAGTTATGATGCATGATTGCCTTGTACCCATGACAATATCTAAATCATCAACAATATGTGTATTTTGATTGACCTCCTTACGGAACACAGCAGATATCTGATCTATGAAGCCAATTAAATGATTTTCAGTAGACAACCTAGCATCCATTAATGATCCTATTCCAAATTACCATTACTCTTTGCCCTGCCTTTTCTGTTGATCAGCTCATCAGCACTGCCATAATGTTGTTAATGCTTAGTTCTTGTGATTCTAATATCTTGATTAGTATCCATTTAGAAATCTACTAGAATTTATTTGATTTGTAGATAGAGGACAAATAGTTTGTGGGAGGGTTAGCTAGGGAGGTGAGGATACTAAATCGGGGATGGTATCTTTTCTGTTCTTTTGACTTCCTTTCATTTATCTGGTTATATGACTTCTATCTTGTATACTAACCAAACGACCAATCCCCTGATCAAGAGCTCGTTGTGTTCACCCGAGGTTTAGGTATAATTAGTCTATTTTCCCATTTCATATTATGTCGAAGTTGGGGCAAAAATACTATTCTATTTGCTTTACACATGTGACATGGTACAATGTTTATGAATGGATTTTACATGGTTTATTTAACTTCATCATATGAGATATTTGAGTGTTCCATATTCTGTCTCTTTCATCTTTTTGTTAAAAACCTAGACATTTTGTTGGAATGCTTTTCTTTTTGTTTTGGATAATGTTGTGTCACTTGCTTCTAATTGTTCCACCTTCTCCCTTCTTTCAGTTGCAGCAAACTTTGTTGGAGCGGACAATTGAGCATCTAGTCCATTGTACAGATAAGGTGTACAAAAGTGCTCGTAGAAAGTCATGCAAGGTGCCACCATCTTTTATTCATACCGCAAAGAAGCACAGTGAACCGCATCAGGATTACCTTAATCACAAGGATAACGGTAAATGATCCCTACCATCATACCCGCAGTTTATAGTATTCTTGTTCTAGCATTTTTATATACTGCTGCATTATTCATTGCTTTTCTCTTTTCAGCCAGATTGTGATTGTTGATTTAAGGATAGAGTGTTGAACTAGAGATAGTGATAGTGATAGGGAGGATCAAACAAGAACAAGGTCAAAATAAAAGAATACGAGAACAACCAAATCACATGTGATCTTCACTGAAATCACAGGAACATGGTCAATGCAAGGGGTGTGAGTTGCATGAATCACATGTGAATTTATACGTGATTTTAGTGTAAAATCACGTGATTTGACTATTCTTATGTTCTCTTATTTGGTCACTTTTTGTTTGAACCTGACTATTCATATATATATATATATATATATATATATATATATATATATCTTTTGCTGCTATTCATATTGGCTTCATGATGATTTCATGATCCTTTGATTCCTCTTTCAACCAGTGAAGGTGGAAAGGGGATTCATACCCATAATATCTTAAGGTATTAGCACTTCTTTTGGATAAAATAACACATTACATTAGCAGTTAGGGGAAGGTCATATAGCATTCACGCCAAACACTTGATGATTGAAACTTGACCTAGGTTGTCAGTACCTTCTGCAAAAATATATCATTATTATTAATCTTTTTTTTACTAGAGGAACAGACAAGTGGTAGAAGTAACTCCAACCATATTTTTGAGTAAATGAGGTAGTTATGATTTGAGAAGGAGATGTTTTATATAGCCTGTAGTCTGCTGTTCTTTTGGGATGCCTTTTGTACACTGGTCAGGACGAGACATGCCAATACAATTCACAAACCTGTTGTCCCACGTTTTGCATAGACAATAGACCGAGACAGGAAGGGACTAATTAGGACAAAAATGCATTTTTTTTGTTCCATCAAAATATGTGGAATAAAAATCACAAAGATAAGAGAAGATCAATAAATTACTAACACGTGAGTTCTCGAATTTGGGGAGAAAAGAAAAGAAAGGAAAATAGTTTTTTTATTTGTGTTCTCGAAAACGGAAGGAATTGAAAGGATATAAAATTTTCATGTCCTTAAACAGGAGAGAAAGGAAAGAAAAGATGTCATTTTTACAAATATACTCTTTAAAAATATATCCTTTATAATGAAAGGTCGGATAGTTTTGTAATTTTAATAATCTTTTTAAAAAGTTTTAATTCCTTTCCTTCCCTTCCTTTTCCTCCCACTTTTGGAAGGACACTTATCTTTATCTTTCTTCCGTTTTCTTTCCTTTCTTTCCTAAAAGAATTTCTAGGCACACAGTCCTTTTTATTTTCCTTCTCTTTCCCTCCCTTTCCTACAAAGGTTTTGAGAATGTGTAAAACTACAATGTCAAATTACTAAAACTACCAAAGTGAAATTAAAACCTTTCACCCGTCCCACCCAATCTTGTATAGCTCTGTGATTCCTCCCAAATACCAAACACGCCTTCAAGTGTCATTTCATATGTTTGGCTTCTTACCTGTTAGTTAGAGGCAAATTTAACCATCTGCAGTCTGTGCATTTCCTCGTAGAAGGCTGTAGTTTTTCACTTTTTACACATGGGAAATTCAAGAAATCATGAAATATACTGCAATGGGTTGTATGTTTCACGATATGGATGTCGTACTTGCCTTTCTACCTGCATACTGCTGTTGAACCGATGGCAAATAAAATTTCTTCCTGTGACTTCATGCAGGATCACCTTTTTCGGAACAAAAGAGGATATCGAACCTGGTAAAACTGTCAACATCGATACTCAAGTCTATTATCGATTCAAGTACAGTGGATTGTACCAACAAGCACCAAGAAAGATGTTTGAGTTTTACAAGACAATACGTAGAGTTTGTAGTCACTAACTTAAGGCAGCATTCACATGGCCAGCTCGAGTTTAACGTGGATGACTTAAAAGAAACATTTTTGTGTCTTAAAAGCTCGTTCACATACGCAGCCAAGTTACTAAATCTAGTCCTCACAAGTTCTACAGAAGCTTCCTCACCTTCAATAGAAGTCCACAATCTCGCTAACGATCTGTTTGATCTCATTATCTCAGTCGAAGAACATCTTGGATCTCGATATGGATCACTTCTATTTTCTTCGGTAAAACTATGGCTTCCGGATTTGATTCTTGCATTAGGATCCTTGCAAATACAGAAACCGTCATCATCATCATCAAGTGCATTTACTCAAAGCAAGTTTGGTTTTCCTTCATGGATCGTAATCTTGGCTAAGATTGAGATTTTCGACAACCAGGAGGATGATTCAGAAGATGAAAAGGTTATTTTAGCTTCGAAATTTTCTTTGTTTAGAAAAAGTGTGGAAGCTATGGTTCAACTGCTGAGAGCGAACCATAGCGTGCTAGATGCAGTTGGGGAGTTTCTATTGGCGGGTTCGGTGGTTGGTCTGAACAAGAAAGACTTTGAATTGGTATACGGGATCCTACATTTTGTGTGCATGAAGCTAGTGAAACATGAAAACGGGGAGTGGATGGGAAGGAAACTGATGTTGGAATCTCTCCAACAGATGTACCCTCAAATGGAGAGGATGGGCAAGGAGCTTAGAAACGGACACGAAAAAGAGCAGTTGGAAAAAGCGATAGAACTGGTTGAACCTATTTGGAGATGTTACGGTGATAAAACGTCCAAGGACCCGATGGAAACCGGTTCCGGTGATTCTTGATGTGTAAATTGCTTGTTTACAATTACACCGAGTTTGTATATGAATCCTAATCCTGGTCTCTAAGCGGGATATACCGGGTATATTTGGTTTTTCTGAGTTTGTAGAAGAGAAGAGAAGGAAAGAAATGGAGTAGAAATAACATGGAACTCGGTCTGTACTAATTCCTTCATGTCAACTGAAATCTCTATTTTTCTTCATTGCTCCCATATCCATGTACAAGAGTCAAATTTAACCAGACACTTACCCGGGTAAGCGCTTATCAAGTCATATTACCTTATCAGATGAATATGGTGAGGACCAAGAATCTTACCCGGTTAATGGAAAACAAGAAGCGAGAGTCTTCCAACATAATCTAACACTCACTTAACCAAAAAGTGAAAAAAGAAATACTATAATACCCTTAAAATAAATTCCCAAATTAAAAAGGTTTCAATCAATTTAACACATCTCAAAGTAGAAAGTCTAAGAAAGATCCAATAAATCAGCAATATGTTACACTTTTATTAGAACTAAAAAGATCAAGCTTTACAAAAATATTTCATTCCAAATTAAACAATCACTTCCCAGAAGTAGCAAAATGAACTATACGTCTAATACAGATTCATAATGAAAACAAATGCACATCTACGCGACTTCAAAAACCAAAGACAAAGAACGGAATTAAAATCTGGGATCTCACAGAAATATCAGTATGTTATGTGATAAGCAAGATCACAGCTTTTAATTTCCTTTTTTCGGGTGGGTTTCTGATTGGATTAATGGAATTCCCATCACAAAACTGTGATAAACAACAGATTGGATGGCAAAAAGAGATAAATCTAATGGCTTTCTAACAAGTCAAAGAAGATATCATATCTTCATGTTACCTCCAACAGGGATCTTCTTCAAGAACACAGCAATCGGCATGCTTAAAAATCCGGTGAAAATGCTAAACAACCATTGTGTGGTTGTTAATGGTGATGTGTTTGCAAAGGTACCCAAATACTCGATTATTATCACTTGGAAAATGACGGTTGCAGCAATAACGCTTACAAACACCTTGTTCTCCAATATGCCATCTAGAACATCTTCTTTCTCCATTTCTCTAGAGTTAACCTCGTTAAAGAGCTGCATAATGTATAAGACAAATATCAGCCTATGATGTCGGAAGTGGGTTCAGTATCATTTCTTTGCAAAGTTCACCGATAGTTTCATTTGTGATGAAAAGCCAATCATGAAGGTTTGAAACTTTGGGCCATGTTTGGCAACCATAAGCTAGCTTATTGAAAAAGCGCTGTTTAATTAGGCATACTACCTTTTTGTAAAACTACAAATAGAGTTTCAAAAAACTGCAGGGGATCTTTTTTACAATTATGCCCCTTGTATATTTTATATTTTACATTATTATCTAGCTTATCAGTTAGATTTTTACCAAACTTGATTGGTTTATGAGCCGGTTTGCCTAACAGAGTCTTAATCTATCAAAAAGGAAGAACAAGTTACCTGACAGAAGACGAAGGAATTGAAAATGAGTGTGTTAAGGATGAGATCAGAGTCATCTCCGTCAAGGCCAAAGAATGATTTTCCTTTCGACTGAAGAAGCCATATGACTGCAAATTGGTACACAGCCTGCCCGAAGATATTCCTCCACATGACATTCGTTATGAAGTTACCCTTCCTGCCGACAGGAGCTCTCTTCATTAGTTCCTCATTTGGAGGCTCGGTTGCAAGTGCCAGTGCTCCCAATGTATCCATGATCATGTTCACCCACAAAAGTTGAACAGCTGTGAGGGGTGCGCTCCCTGAAGCGGTAATCAAGAACTATTTAGGATATATTTTCCAATTTGTTGAAATTGGTAGACATTGTAGCTTTTAAGGGTGCATTTGGTAAGCAAATGGGACTAGGCAAGAGTGAGGTAGGCAAAGGAAAGCATTGCGGAAGGTTTTAGAGTTCTAATTTCACATGGCCATTTTAGTAATTTACCAAACTTATGCATCTGCTTCGGTTTTTGTTCTACCTATTTTGGTGGGACAAGAAAAATGCTTTTTTTGTCCCGATCAGTCCTGTCCGGTCCTAGTCTAATTGTCACCAAACTTGGGACAAGTTTTTGATCTGTCTTGTTCTGTACTGTCCCGCATACCAAATATACCTTTAAAAGAACCAGATGATTGATGTAAGAAATAAGGCTGTGTACCTGTTAAACATGCTGAAGTGAAGTTCACTATTAAAGCAACGATGTTGACAGTCAGCTGAAACTGTACAAACTTTTGAATGTTAACATAGACTGATCGGCCCCATTTGGCTACGGTCACAATTGTGGAGAAATTGTCATCCAGAATAATAACATCTGCACTCTCTTTGGCAACCTGAAATTTAGGATCACAACACATCAGAATTTGGAACAGTATATGTAACAACCCGTTCCACATGGATAGAAAATTAAGTTACTAAGTTACTGAAGCTCCTGATAAGCTCAGGGTTACCAATAACTTCCACCATGGTTTTAAGTTTATTTGAAGGTTATTGGGGTTGCCTGCTGCTTTGGGCTAATGGGCTATATATCTATCTGGAAAAATTATTATTGGCAGTTTCGGGAAGATGTGTTTATTGCTCACCTCAGTTCCAGCAATGCCCATGGCAAGGCCTATGTCGGCTTCATGAAGAGCTGGGGCGTCATTTGTTCCATCTCCAGTAACTGCTACAACCTCACCAAATGTGGTTCGCAAGTGTTTCACCAATGTATGCTTATCTAGAGGCGAAGATCGAGCCATAACCTGCATGTAGTTAAGAAAAGGTTTGATTTTTATGAACCCATTATCGAGTAGCTTAATTAGCTAGCATACACGCACACGAAAGCCGATACGAACCTGAATCCTGGGGATTAGTACGAGCAATTCCTCCAGACTCTTCTCGCGGAAATCTGGACCCTCTATTGCAATCCCATCATCTGTAAGTATTCCACATTCCCTGGCTATGGCTTTCGCGGTATTTATGTTGTCACCTGTAACCATACGGACAGTTATGCCAGCTGACCGACAAAGAGCAACTGATTCTTTGACACCTGGACGGACAGGATCTTTGATACCCACGATTCCAATACAGGTGTACCCAGAAGCTGGAATAGGAGTTTCAGCCGAAACATCACTTTTGATGTCTATATAAGCAAGACATAAAGTTCGAAGGGCTTCATCAGCAAAACTCTCAATTGTACTCTTTAGATGTTTAATGGATGCCTGGTCAAGAGGCACAACTTCACCATTTGCATTGATCATCTTATCACAAGCAGCCAAGATTATTTCTGAAGCACCTTTACAATGTGCTCTTACTACTCCTTCAGGAAGCTCCAGCACCACCCCCATTCGTTTCTTCGTAGAGTTGAAAGGCTCAACTCTGAGAACTTTGGATGCTTGGCGCTCAGATTGGAAATCACCTCCAAGTGACAATCCAAACTCCAGTATGGCTGTCTCTGTTGGGGTTCCTAGTATCTCACGTTTCCCTTGTTGGTTAATCACAACTTCTCCCCCTGTGTTGGTGAATATCGATTGTAGAAGAATCTTTAAAGCACCATCAGGGATTTCAGAGGTTTCTTGTTTGATCCCGTCTTTAACATTCATACAAATGCAAGACTTGACAACGGTCATGTGGTTGGTGGTCAGCGTCCCAGTTTTATCGCTGCAAATGGTGGTTGCAGAACCCATGGTCTCACAGGCGGCAAGATTGCGAACTAGTGCCTTATCATTCATCATCTTCTTCATGGCAAAGGCCAGGCTCAATGTGACGGCCAAAGGCAACCCTTCTGGAACTGCAACAACAACAATGGTGACAGCGATAGCAAAGTATTCCAACAACATCAAGGCATCATCACCAGACCAAATCCAATGAGTTCCTTCTGTGATCTTGACAGCAAGCAGTTTCTGAACCAAAACTGCAAAGGTCACTACGGCAAAACAAAGGCCTATCTTTCCAATAACAGTTGCCACTCCATTCAACTTAACCTGCAATGGGGTTTCATCGTGTCCCCCTTCGCTAAGAGTTGCCATCAGTTTTCCCCATTGGGTTCTCATGCCTACCGTTAAAACCAACATTTTACATGAACCATCTTGAACCTTGGTTCCAGATAACAAGTAAGGATTTTCGGTATTGACCTTAACTGGCTCGCTTTCTCCGGTCAAACTAGATTCGTCGATAGAGACTGCAAACCCAGAAAGGAAAAGTCCATCTGCAGGAACTTGATCTCCAATGGCGAGATGTACGATATCACCAGGAAGTAGTTCATATATCGATAACTTTTGCCTGTATCCGTTTCTGGTGACTTGAATTGATATCTTCTTCTTCTCTTTATCCAAATCCCTAAACTGTAGAGATTGACGATAATCACTTGTTGCTGTTACAAACACTACCAACAAGATACTAGCCACGATTCCAAGACCATCATGAGCTCCCTTTGGCCATCCTTCGGTTGCTATGCCGACGATTAAAGAAACAAAGGCACATACAGCAAGAACCATAAGGGTCATATCTTGAAGGGCTTCCCATACGAAAACCCAAAAGCTTTGTTGCTCACGCTCGGTGAATTCGTTGGTTCCAAAAAGTTTCTGTCTGCAGCTCAAATCTTTATCATCCATGGCAAGTCCATTAGTGGTCGATGTTTTGAGCTTCTTTGCAAGACCATCTACCCCACCATGAGATTTTAGCCTTTTGGAGTCATGGTTTTCCACGATGGATCCCGCCTCATCGGCACTGATACCAAAACCAGCTGCTTTGATTTCGTCGGATATCGTGTGATCGCTGGCTTCTGCGCCTTGCTGAAACTGAAATGCTGCTTTCGACACCAAAACAGCTACCCTCAACTTCTGTAATCATGAAAGATACAGATCAGTAATTCAATTAACTTCTAACCATCAAGATGAATTAGCATAATTATAGACATGAACATGAATTCGATAGCCAATTGTCCATCGGTGGTCAGTTCGAAACTAGAATCACCAAGTGTCTGTGAAAATGCGCAAAAGAGTAAAAAAGAAATGGTGTGAAAGAAGATCGTTGACCTGATTACTACGGCGCATAGCTTCAGCTTCATTGCGTTTGGGGATGTTAGCGGTGAAACGAAACCGCCGTTTAGGGTTCTTCACAAGAACACACATATCCCTCCATCTCTGTAACGCCTCCTCCGATGAATGCTTCGGTTTCACCGTCCCGAAATTCTCATTCAAATAATTGTCCATCATTTTCCCCTCACCAAATCCACTCTCACTCTCGAAAACGAAACTAATTAACTCAACCAAAATCAAACCCCAGAACAAATCACTGTCAATTCTCTCTTCTTTCTCCTTTCTCCTTTCTCCTTGCTTCTTGCTGAAACGAATATTAAACTACAAGTATATATAAACCAAGAAACAGTCAAAATTGAGGAAATTTCTGTGGTTTTTGAATTGGTAAAGTGCAGTCAAGAAATATCAACGAAGCAGCATATGATTATCGAACAAGATACAGATTATTGAAATCGAAATTGTGGGTAGAGGAAAGAGGAAAGAGGAAAGTGGCGCGAAGTTTCCGATAAGCTACTGTGTGTTCTTATAATCAGTAAACCGTTGGGTCCCTCCTTAGCGTGTTCTTGGTACACGTTATAAAACCGCGTGAAATGAATGTTTTTTTAGTTAAAGTAGTTCTTTTTTTAATTGTCAAATATTTTTTTATTAAATTAAAATATTAACATAAGAAGAGATTCATGCCATCTTTAATTATCGATACTTAAATCTCTAATTAAGTGGTCGTTTATTAAATACTTATCCGTTAAATGTTTATCGGTGAAATTTAATATTATTATTTACTTACTGGGTAATATTTTGTTCCACCAAAACGACATCGTATCCAACAATTTACCCGGTAAGCTCTTATTGTGGTAAAAGTAGTTGTCATCACTTACCGGGTAAGACTCTTGGTCCTTGTCTTTGTTCTTACCGGGTAAGATTTTTGGTTTGTAGCATATTCATTCAGTGAGGTAATGTGATTTGGTAATCGATTACCCGGATAAGCGTTTGGTAAACGCGTAATTCTTTACAACGAAGAAAATAAAGATTTTATGGATTTTAGGGTGCGTTTAGTATACAGACTGGATGAGATGGGATGAGATAAAATAAATAATTTCATGTTTGGTGTGCCATGAGACAAAAGTAAGATTGAGTGAGATTATTCTTGAGTTTTTTTGTTTCACCAAAAAAGGTAGAACAACATGAGATTAAATTTGAGATTATAATATTGCCCTTATTATTTGATATCAAAATACAAACCTAATTTAATTGCATCATCTTTCTTCTCTTTCACTGTCTCTATTCTTGAAATGTTACACTTTTGACGATGGCGTGACAAATGTTATTTACAATTGTTGTGTTTAAACCTTTTAAATTATGTGCGTATTTAGAATTTGTGGTATGACAAATGTTATTTACATGTGGTATTGGAATGTTAAAAAAAATATTGATATTATAAATTAAATAATTTAAATATATTTTTGGTTGATTTGTTGTCATTTGCAATCATTATATGATATAAAATAACACTGAACAACATTTAAGGGTAATATAATCATTTTAACAGTTTTGTCCCGTCATGTCCTAGTCGTACCATATATGACAGACAATTAGTCATGTCCTGTCCCATCCCGTTCTGTCCATATAGTCTGCGTACCAAACACTATCTTAGACATGTTTTTTGATCCAAAAGATTTCTTTAAAACCCTTCTCTAAAATGGTTTGGAGAAAGTGTTGGAGCAAAATATTGGCTCAATATTTACATTTTCTCTATTTTGGAAAAACTGTTAGATATGTTTTTAGAGAAAGAAATAATATCTTATTAGATAAATAAAATATTTTAATAATATAATCAATGTTGTAATTTTCAAAATGAAGAATCTATTGGAGTTGAATGTATTTTTGTTTTAAAGATTTTGAACTTTCATTCTCCGTTTCAGAGAAGTTTTGGAGAATTTGTTAGAAATGCTCTTAAGATTGTAAACAAGTCGAGCTTTTAACGAACGAATCTCGAACATAAAATAGAAGTGTTTTAGCTTAACGAGTCAAGTTTCATAAAAACCAATGCTTGACTCAGCTCATTCGAAAGCTCAATGTTAATAAATAATATAATAAAAATATAAAAAATTATCAAGCTCGAACCAATAAACGAGATAATCAATGGCGAGTACAAGCCAATAAACGAGCATCAAGCTTGAGCTTGATAACTGAAATAATATTCGAGCTCGACCCCTGCACTGAAATAGTTATTCGAGCTCGAGTCGAGCTTGAGCCTGGTATAATTTTCTCGAGTCGTGCTTCAGATAATCTACTACTTGACTCCACTTGACTCGTTTACACTTTACACCCTTATCAATACTATTTTTTTAATATTAAAATGGTCTAATTTGGTACAAAGTAATTTATTTTCAACTATCAATATTATTTTTTCACTTGTTAGTTAAAAAAATGATATAAATGAATAACGTTACATTAAATTTGGTATCTTACGATGCATAATATAAATCACAAGGGTGGTGCCTGGTTGGTTTGAGCTTAGTTCCAAAGGTCAAAAGAACATGGAGGTCCCATGTTCAAATTCAAGGAGAATAAAAACCCCCTTGTGGGCATAGGGGTTCAAATGTGGTGACTCCAGGCTATCTGCAAAACATGTGGTCGCCTTGAGATTAGTCGGCTCGCATAGTGGGTTGGATATCCAGGTTAATAGAAAAAAATGAAAATATAGTTTATTTAAAAATGGTCTCAGTACACTAAAACCTGACCAACCTGACCCGAAATAACACAACCAAAGTCTGATGATACGTAATCGAGTTGTAAAATCTTCAACTGTAGGTATTTTTAGAATTGGACAAACTCCTTTGAACCCAACACGATGAACCAGATGTACCTAATAACCCTTTATAAGTTATACGCCTTTGCAAGGTGTTTGATTGTTACCACTTCTCAGGTAATAAAGTTGTGGATCGGCCATTAATTAAAGACTTTTATTACAAGATAGTAAAGATGTAGAATAATTGGAACGTGTTTTTGAAGCAATGGATCAAATAGGGCCATATAAGTGGATATGACATGTCATTTTACGCTCGCACACGTTTCAAGAACATATCTCACGTCACAATCCAATCAACCAAGGACAGAGCCATCACTAACTAAAGGCCCGAAAAGGGCCATATACTGGCTTCTTGTCTACGATTATGTGATATCATCTCAACCGTTTGAATTAGTCATCGGTCTGCATTGTTTGAACCAAGAATCCTCACCCCTCTAACCCGATATTCCCCTGTTCACTTCGAGCTTCGTTAGTCATCTTTTAGTGTTTATTATGCGATACTTGAATTATTTTTTTGCAAATTGTTGTGTTTATCATAATAGTTTGTTTTTTTTGCTAATTTAGCTGCACAACAATCCACAATTTCGAAGTGAACTGAGATTTTGATTTTTTATTATTAAAAAAAAATGTTTTTTAGACCAAAAGTTCGCTATTAAAATTCAATTAAATTATAATAAAAATTTGAATTAAAAAAATTATACCAAAAACGAGAATTTTTAAATAGTTAATTTGATAATAATATCAATTATTTTTTTTCAAAATTTTATAATATCTTCAAATTTATATTTCATTCAAAAATAAAAACATCTTCTTTTTCTCAAAACCATATAAAATCACATTATAATATCAATAGACCCAAAATATAAAACGAAACATTAAAATCAAGATATATATCGTTTTATTACATTAATATATATATATTTATTATTATTCTTTAAATTTAAATTTAATTTTAATATATAATATACACATGCGAGTACACACACCTATCCACACACGTGTATATACATAGTCAGGTTCAACCGTTTAAAGGAAAGCCACATCCATCAATCATTAGATTATTTAATTCAACGAGTATGATTAAATAAACGTTTATAACAATATTTTTAAATTAAAACACCTCGTCACCCCTAATTTTTATTCGAAAAATATGAAACATAAATAAATATCGAGCAAAATAAATTACACCATATTGATATATTTTTTCATTCGTTTTTTTTGTGATATTCGGTTTTTCATTTATTTATCTCTTCCCTTGAACCCAACTCTCTCTCAACGCAAAATAAATGAAAAACCAGAAAATTACGAAAAAACAGATGCAAAAATTGGTCCCTCAAGTAAAGACAAAAAAGGAAAAGAATAAAAATACCATCAAGATTAACGGAGGAACTGGATGCCCATTCGAAGGAGGGACCAATTTGTTACAAAACAACATACCAAGGGTCCTAATCTATAATAAATGAAATTCAAGAACCATTTTCATAAAAACCAACAAATCACAAGAACCAAATCCGTAATTTACTCTAATAAAGAACACCAACATCACAATTTGTTAGGTTATGTCCAACTAACGACATCAATTTTGATATAAAGACATTAAAGTAAACATATCGGTTGGTATAAAGTTTATAAAAGAAGTTCACATTAAGGGGTCGTTTACCAAACACTTACCCGGAAGCACTTACCGGTAAACTTAACACTATCATTTAATTACCGGGTGAAATTTTAATCCACTAAAACGGTATCGTATGCAACAATTTACCCGGTAAGCGCTTACCGTGGTAAGAGTCGTCGCCCTTACTTGCCGGGTAAGACTTTTGATCATTGTCTCGCTCTTACCGGGTAAGATTCTTGATCCTTACCATATTTATCCAGTAAGGTATTATGAATTTGTGTTCACTTACCCGAGTAAGCGTTTGGTAAACGGCGCCTAAACCTTATGGTTAAAGATTTATTATTTACACAAAAACATATCGTTTAAAAAGATATTGTTGAGATCTTTAAAATGAGTTTAATATCAATTATCTATATCTATATTATATTATAAAGCATTTGACAAAAACTCTTAGAAACCATTTTTTATGCATAAAGTACTGTTTATTAATGCATATTACTTAAAACTCAAGATTACAAGTAGATTATGCGTAGGTACAACTTATTAAAGCTCCATATCTGAATTCGTGTAACTAACTGCAGATAAATATAATCAAATACAGGATAAACATCTCATTTTAAATATAAAAAAATCTAAAATATATTAAGATAATCATTGAGTTCTAACAGAATACTTAATTATTATCTTTATAAAATGTTATATTATTAAAGCAAAAATAAATTATTTCATTGTTAAACTTAAATTAAGTTATAATAAAAAAATAAATTAAAAAATTACATAAAAAATGAGAACTTTTAAGGGGGGTGCTAATGGCACCCCTTATAGGGGGGGTGTTGAATGCATTGGGAATTGGGATGACTTTAAAATTAAGAAAACATCAAATCAATTTTAAAAATATATTATATTTAATTATTATTAGTATTTAATATATATATATATATATAT